TGGCAGGAGAACCCAGGCACCAAGGACCTTCTGCAAAATTACTTCTTAGAATAATCCGAGGTCTGATCCACAGAGATCTACACATATTTTATGGTTTTATCTTTCTTTTTTGACTGGATAACACAACTTGTGAAAGAATATTCTTTGCCATTCTTTGTCTTCCCACAATTAAAGAAGATTTTTTTCTCTTTCAAGCACCTGATATTGACCATTTTGATGTCCTTGAAGAAGTACCAGTTTCTCCTTTGAGCTGTTTTTCTGTGATATGTATGTGGCTTCCATACCACATTTACAACTTGAGGAAAACACAGTTTCATGGCTTGAATACTGTGTATTTTCTTAAACACACAACCTTTCCTTACTGTGGCAGAGCAATAGGAATACAGCTGTATTTTATGCTCCACCCCTGACTCTAAAGCTGAAATGACAAATGTCAGCCACACTGAGACAAGTGATGTGGTTGGTGCCTCATGCCAGCACCCTGAAGAATCCAAGATCCAAGTCAGATCCCAAAACCTATGGGACTGCCCCCGGACAAGGCAGATTTTACTAAAAAAGTGTTGCTCATGTCCACAAACATACAGTATCTTTCTGACCCACTATCTGTTGAAATAGATCCATACGAGGCCTAAATCCTACTTACAGTTACTGGAGAGACCACTTTCACATCAGTGAGTTTTGCTGTGGGTTCCTTTCCTGATGCTGATACACAGACAGTGCCCCACTCATTCCCAAACCAACCTGATCTAAATTGGTCTAACGAGTGCCCCAGCACCATGTGATGAGGATTGTGCCTTCACTTAATCACTGCTCCCTTTGGAGTGCAAAGGACAGCTGGGGAGAAAATGATCACATTATCAAAACTCCGTTCCTGACAGAGACAAATCTGGAGAGTTTGTTTACATCAGAGGTAGTGACTGAATTTCATTTGACATGTCACAAACATCCAGGCTCTTGGCTACAGCATCAAGTGAATAATTTAGTAGGATGCTGTATGCCAAGCAAACAGGCTGTAAAACAGTTCTGTACAAAATGTGGGCTACCAGCTGTACAGCACCAAGGCACAGAATAGTATTTACTGCTTATGCACTGTGCTGAATTACTAACAGCATGGCCCCAAATTAGGAAATTAGGGAAAGAATGACAAACATGGATGAGTCCTTTTTTGCTGCCCACACTAAAACTCTTCTTCCAGCACATGGACAATTACAGCAAACACTGCAGGACTGGAGGCACTGCTTTCAACATTCCTAACATCTGAAGAACAGCCTATATTGATGCACAGTTTGGGCAGGAAATGAACTTTAATGAATAATCTGGGAAAGAAAACATAGACCACAGTTTGCCTAGATGCTGCGGTTAGAAAACCTTCTCTTTCCTGTCGTTACACTGAGCAAACAAATGCTGGTTTTATTCATTCCTAAGCGGGTTTGTTTTGCACAACAACTCAGCACTGACCTGATTCTGAACACCTTGGAATCAAAAGGAATTTATTGCTAGATTCATTCAGAGTAGGAATGGGCTATCACTGCTCCAAGATGTGCGATGTTGCAGATTTACATATTCTGCAAAGCCTTTAGAATTGCCCCATTATTCAGAGTAGCTGCAGAGCTATTTAATTGGCCTCATTCCTGCTCTGGCTCCCCTGCTGGCTTCCATTTGTTTTCCAAGTGCCACCTTTGTCCATTTGCAAATGATGCCTTTCTCGTGGCTTTGTAGTTAGAATTGGAAGGAAACTTTCCAAATTTTGATGAGCAAAACTTGGCAGTCTATGCTACCTAGCTGTTAATTTGCATCTTCCATGCCAAACTTCTTTCAATACAACAGAGGGCACAAATATCTTGTCAGAGCAGACACTGAAAAGAGTTACCTATTCTCCACACATGAAGTATTTAAGATAATTAAACACATCCAGATTTGTTTGTTCTCTGTAATTGGAACAGCAATGAATTCTCTAAGAAATGTTCACAGAAATCTCATCCACCTCCATTCAGAGTTTAAAATTTCAGCTTCTTTTTTTCTTTCTGTCATCATCATCACTCTGAATAATCTGCTCATCCACACCTGGCATGTAAACACCAGCATGAACATGTAAGAGAGATTCCTTTCACACTTCAGAATAACCTTATCTGCAAGGTAAGTGTATTTGAGCTGAGATGCCCTTGACGTTTGTACATGACCTCACACCAGGACCAAACAGCAAAGCCAAAGAGGACACAGCAGTGTTTATAGCTCTTTACAATGGATGTCAGACAACTTTAAGCACAGCATTTTATGCCCCCACCAAACAACAAAGTTAATACTGAACATAAAGCAGTATCAGAAATAATTTAAGGAACAACAATCTCAGTGCCAGGCACTTGCTCATGATTAATGTTTAGCTCTGAGGAATTGATAGGCCCATAAAGGAATTTTAACACTTAATAACATTCTTTGTGGTAATGTGTATTACTTCTAAATGTATCTTTTAAAAGTATTCACTTTGAACTTCTCATAAAAGAGTCCAAACTGAATACTTTCACATCTTTTCTGCAGTTCTGGGTGGAAAGTTAACATTCAAAAGGTAGAAAACATCTGAACAAAACTGCTCACCCAGGAGAAGCAGGAAATAAAATAGAAGAGCATTTCATTATTGTGAATAAAAAACTAAAACAAGGAAATAAATTACTGCATGATCTTTGTAGAAAGAAATGAGGACTTTAGCAAACAAGCTATACATGGAGGTATATTAAAACATGACAACAGTTGTAATTCAGACAAAAATGTGAAATCACTAGAGCAGAAAAGTTCTACTAATAGAATGACAAATGTAATGAATGTAGTTAGAAGACACGAGAATAACAGTAACAATTTCTGTCAGAAAACACTCTCAAGCACCTGTGTTCATATACTAGAATTAATGAAATAATGATATCTCAGGTACATATCTTATTGTGTAGTTAGTCACTGCTGGCATATGCTTTGCAAAATCCAAGCCTCAGCAGCCATTTGTAGGATCAGACCCTCAGTTTACATTCTCTTTTGTCACGGAAGTAGACAAGGTTAATTAATAGGATAAAATCGTAAAGATGTGGGCTTATTTTTAAACGAGATGAAGCTCAAAACAACTTAATTGTACTACACTCCTGTTATCCTTCAAGTAATCCCCTGGCTTGATTGATTAAGCTTTGAGTGTAAAGGCTGCCAAGAGTATCCAGTTTTTCTAGTTGTTATGATCTCAATTTAAAACTCCAAGTAAGCTACCTTGCTGCACAAGTGCAATTCCACTTCTTCTAGCTCAGAAAAACTACATCAAAACTACATAGCTTATTTAGCAGTTACTAACTACTACTTGCTTAACTTGGGAGTGTGAATGGTAGGGCTGCATACTCAAAGTCAAATCCAAAACAGTTTGGCTGCATCTTCAAAAACAACAAATGTCCATGGAAGTGAATCAGACATTAGTTAGACATCCACTCCTGAGTGCTCAGATTGTGGATAAAGCACTGAAATGTCTCTTGAAGCATAAGCACGTCTCTAACTGACTAAAAGCAAACTCCTTTCTATGCAGTCAATATATCTATAAAACAGCCTTATCTGTCTCTGCTCTGATTCACCAGGGAAGGCCAGGATTCAAAGCAAAGGAGGATTCCTCCTGGACACAAGTTTCTGGAACCTTGCACCCCCTAGGTTTAGGATGCCAGCAGCCACTCAAGAACCTCTGAAAGCAACACTTCAGTGACTTAAAAGGGAGAGTGACATGTGCTAAAGGGAAAACCACCAAGAGCTACCACTGACACTACAGCCAGGCCCAACAAAGTGAAACATTTTTCACTGGCACTGCTTCTCAAAGAAACTGAACCTCCATTAAGAACTCCTGTGTTTCTGTGCTGCAAATCGACTTTCGTCACAGAAACTTACAGCCAACACTCCTACTAATTACTTGACTGAAAAATCCAATCACTTACAGTTAATTAGCAGAACAAAATTGTTCCTTGTATCTATGGCACGCTTGCTTTATTCAGGAACCTTAATGAGAAGCCCTCTGGAACACTTATAATTGAAGGTGAAAATGGACTTTGAGCTTAAAAAAATGAAGGTCTCCAGACACTGTAGGTCATAAATGTCAATGTATGTGAGAACACCACATTTCAGTTTTGTGCATGGTCCATGCTCCAGGTAGCCATGATGAAAGATTCAGTATCTATACATTAACATTTTACTTTTAAGGTACTGAGCATCAGAAAAATCAGCTGGTATTTGTTATTAAAGGCATGACTGAACCTGAAGTTGGCAGTGAAGGAGAGGGGTAATATAAAGACAGTTATCTATAGAACTTCCCAGAAGAATCCCAGGACTGCAACTCCATGTCAGCAGAATATGGCCTTCTCCTTCCTCCCACGTTGCCTTCCAACACAGAAGTTCTCTTTAAATTTTCTCAAGGTTGCCATACACTAAACCAGGCACCAGATCAGGCTGCCCAAGTCCCCATCCAGCCTGGCCTTGAGCATCTCCATGGATGGGGCACCCACATGTTCTTCTTTTGCATGTGTGAATTATCTTTGACTCTTTGACTGCCTTCTCCAAACACTGAGATAACAGATGACAGTGGGAAGGTAAAACATATCTTAGTAGCTTCTTTTAAAACTCACATACTGACAGTAAAAGTACCATTTAGTTGACTCTTCTACCAGCATAATGTCTGTTTTCATATATATACATGTCCTTTTCCTTACAGAACTATTAGTACCACTAAAGAGAATAAAGTATAATCTTACAATCTCTTCCTTGTTCTTTTATAGAGTGTTTGCTGAGCACAGCTCCTCTTGTCCTGGCCCCAGAGATGCCACTAAGGACTGTATTAACATTATTATGAAATACAAAGCAGTTATTATTAAGTAACAGATATTGCCACACATTGTCACACTTTGCTTTAAATGAAGCATAGAAATGAGGAGCAATGACAGTGAAAGAGTAACATATGAAATTTGATAATAATACTTCCTATCTCCATATCTTACTTTGCTCATTTTCCTCTGGTCTGACCTTCTGCAATGAAATCTGTCTGCTCTTAATGAATCCTGGCTGTTCTTTCTCTTCCCACACGTGACCCAGAAGATCTGGAGATGCAGGCAAGCGCTCCTTGATCAGTTCTGCTGGTAGGTAACATCCAGCTCATCAGAGACTGAAAAGGCAAGACATGGGGTAAATTACCAGAGCAGAATAACTACAGCAAAAATAATTTAATTTCTTAGCAGAAGTGAACTTTGGGTAAGAACTACTCAGGCTAAAGATATTAATTTTAGTTGCTGAAGAATTGGTCTATGAAGAAAGGTTGCGGAAACTGGGCTTGTTTACTTGGAGAAGGGGAGGCTCTGGGGAGACCTCATTGTGGCCTTCCAATACTTGAAGCGAGCATATAAACAGGAGGGGGAACAGCTGTTTACGAGGGTGGATAGTGATAGGACAAGGGGGAATGGTTTTAAACTGACACAGGGAGGTTTAGGTTAGATATTAGGAGGAAGTTTTTCACCCAGAGGGTGGTGAGGCACTGGAACAGGTTGCCCAAGGAGGCTGTGGATGCCCCATCCCTGGAGGCATTCAAGGCCAGGCTGGATGTGGCTCTGGGAAGCCTGGTCTGCTGGTTGGCGACCCTGCACATAGCAGGGGTTGGAACTGGATGAGCATTGTGCTCCTTTTCAACCCAGGCCATTCTATGATTCTATAAGAACAATCTGAAAATAAGCACATTAAATTGTTTCTGTTTTGCCCCAAGTCACTCTTCTGTTCCTTCTGCAGTTTCCACACACTGTGCTTTAACTAGTTAAATATTCACAAGTCATGATATTGAACATTTAGCTTTCCCTTCACAGTTCTTTTCGAAGAAAAATTTGTTGTTTAATACGTTCTGACCTCGTGTATAGTTGACAGCCTCTAAAGAGTGCTGTTCCTCTGGAAGTAATAAATGAATTCCATTTGTTATATTTTTCTAATTTCTCCAGAATTTATGCTGCGAGCAACTCAGGTTGCAATGAGATATTAAAATTTCATTCTGAAGATGTCATCGTAAGTCTACAACTGGAGTACAAAAACCATATTTTTGATTTTATGTGCTGAGTACCTTAAGATCCATAAACTCAGCACACTCACATGAAAGAATAAGAATGGTTTCAACAGTCTGAGTGCACATCCATTGTACAAACAATACTACCACAATTACCTGACATCATCCAGGAGCCCAAATACGAGCTGATGGTCAAAGCAATTCAAGTATTGTTGCAAAAACAACTGTCTTTGCAAAAACTGCCTTTGGGATTTATTTACCCTTTCATTAGCTGCCACCTAATCCCTGTGCTGTGATTATAGGAAAGGAGGTATAACAGCAAACACAAATTTAATTCTGTACAATTAACCACTTAGGTGATTTTTACATTAACTAGCATAAAAAATAAACTGTTAAATTAACAGTTTGATTTTTTTTTTTTTCCGAGTGGTTGCTGGATTATAATTATATTAAGCATTAACTCTGCATCACCAAAGTAAACAGGAACAAATCTAAAGATGCCAGTGCCAGAAATCTGTCATGTTTCCACCAAAGCAAAGTTCATTTTGATTTCTTGGGAAAACTGAAAGTGTGCTGCTGCTGTACACAGCCTGACAATACCTAATTGCTGTATGGGCCAAGCACTCTGCATTGCAATTACATATCCCTGCATTTAAAATGAGTTTCATTAACAGTTCTTAAATCAATCTTTGTACATTTCCCTTGACTTTAAGGAACACAACAGGCTCTTTACTAATTCTGCTAGTCCTCCTTTTCTGTACAATTTAAATTAAGACTTTACCAGTAAAAAAAACTTGCAAGAGTATCCAGCCTTCTCATCTCCTACCATTTCAGTAATCTCTGACCATTACTGTGAGGGAATCATTAACCCTACAAGTCCTCCCTGCTTTGCTTTTTCTCTGCATTTCATCTCAAAAAGAAGACAAAAACAAACAAAAAAAAACCCTGTCATATTGAAGTTAGTCATTGTCTGACTCTGTCGTGCTAAGAAATGAATAATGAAAATGTTTTATCCTGCCATGAAAAACAGTTCCAAAACTTGTGTGAGGATAAATGCACAGTTGCTCAATAATTTAAAACACATCAGTGGCACGAGCAATCCCTTTATCAATTTGACCAGGCTCCTTGCATAACCAGGCAAGTGACATGTTGAAACCACCTTGGAACTCTCCAAACCTGGAGCATGCCATTGAAATTTCTGAGTTAGAAAAGGCACCAGCTGAATCTACAAAGCACCCATCTGAACTTGCCACGACCACTACCAGTACAACCACAGTTACAAGGTGTGGAAACCAACTCAGGAAGGTCTCATTCTCACAGGCAAGCTGCCACAAAACCATCCACAAGAAAAAAAAGCTGGAGTTGAAGCTGACCCATGCTTCTGCTTCTGGAAGAGACGTGCTCAAACGGTGCAGGGAAAGGTATGGCCCCAGCAGACAGTGCTGTCCCACATCCCTTGGTGGTCTGCAGCAGCTGAAGGACAGCTCAGCCTGAGCCTGCAGCACTGCCTGCTGTGTGACTCACATCAGCACTTGGGAGCTGAGATACCTCCTCTACAGTGTGCATTTACAGACTAGATATGACAGCCTTTCCAAAGTAACAGCTCATGTCACTCAAAGAATGGTCATAGAAACAACCTTTTGTAAACACATCAAACAAACAAACGGGAGTTAATTTCTCAGCCTTTCTCAGAACTAGAAGCTAATTTACATTTAAACAGACAACATTTCCCCCAAGTAGCACTACACTCTATTTTTTATTACTACTGCAGTGTTTCAAAAGGCACATTAATAACGCAAATGCTCCGCATCTCATTCCTTAGCAGTTACAGGATAAGGCTGAACGTGTCAGCGTTCACTGCTTTCACCAGCAATGAGACATTTGGGAATTATCCCCTGCTAATGGCAAACGTTCTTCATCTACAAACGCACCTTCAGTCTTTTACTTCAGTTTGTTTAGACCTTTTCGCAGTGCGTAAACAAAGAAGCCACGTAAACATCAATTCCCTTCACAGAGGACAACTACAGATGCGTGGCTTTGGTCGAAAAGCCCATAAGTTTGCACTCTGGCAACGCTGCTCCTGCATCCATCCCCACAGTGAGAATCCAGTGCACGAAGCTCTGCGGTCCCCCAAGGACCACGTTCCTGCGGTCTGCACCGGGGGAGGCTCAGGTCGGATATTAGGGCATGTTTCTTCTAAGCCATGGCTTAGCGGTGCACTTGTAGTCTTAAATGGACAGCTGGCCTTCCTGATCCTGCTTTTCCAACCTGAATGACTCTGCGGAACAGAAGCGACCGGCCGCCCGCGTGACGCACCGGCTGTTCCCGCCCGGAACGCCCCTGACGCGGACCGCACTTCCCAGAATGCCGCGGGAACTCCTCCTCTCGCGAGAGCTCTAGGCCGGAAGTCTCGAGGCGCGGCCCGGAAGTACCGTTGCTGCGGAGCGCGGGGTGCGGCGAGCCGCTGCCAAGGCCATGGCAGAAACAGACCCCAAAACCGTGCAGGACCTCACGGCCGTGGTGAGCGCGGGCGGCTCGAGCGGAGCGCGGCGTCCCTCAGGGCAGGCACTGGAGGAGCCCCTGAGCCTCGCCCCGTCCGTGGGCTCTGGTTCTGCCTCTGGGCCCTTCTGCCTGGATCCCATTAGATATCACTTGTAGAGTTCTGCCCTCGGCGCAGCTCGCCGTTGGTTTCCCCGTGGGGCAGAGCGGGGTTGTGGGGGCAGGGAAGAGGCTTTGCCTGCTTAGCGGGAAGCTGCTGCCGTCTGACCCGGGTTTGTCTGCGTTTTAAAACTGCTCTGAGTTTCCGTTCTCGTGTGTCTGTGTGTACACGTAAATATAAGGCGATGGGGAATCGTGCTGTGGGGCTCGTGCTTTGCGGGGTGGAACACTGCAAGAAATGGGTCGGTAAGAGAAAGCAAATACTGTGATGACCTCTGTAATGAAAGCAAAACAGGCTTTTTAATTTTCTTACTTTTCTATTAGGTGCAGACGTTGCTTCAGCAAATGCAGGACAAATTTCAAACCATGTCTGACCAAATAATTGGACGAAATATCCTTTTCTAAAGCCAGATGGCTGCTGTACACCTTGAATGCTGAAGCAGTTTTATGTATATTTGTGGGATTTGTAAGCTACATTTAAAGCAACCATAAAAGTTTGAGCAGTGCCATAATTGCAACCAAACACAACCAAGAACCTGAGCACTCATCTGTTGCAGTCATAGCCCTTAACCAGAGAACTTGATGACATGAGCTGCCGCATAGATGACCTGGAGAAAAACATAGCAGACCTGATGACACAAGCAGGAGTAGAAGAACTGGAAGGAGAGAACAAAGCCCCTGCTACTACTAACAAGAGTTAAGGTGAGACAGTTTGCCTTGCAACAAATGCTCAGGTTGCTTGAAATTACTGGCTTTGAAAGACCAAAAAAAAAAAAAAAGAATTTTTGCTTTGATTTGTGAGATAGGCTGAAATTCCTGTAGAGCACTGCTGTATGTTATAATACAAGCACCTGCATGAAGCTTTCTTACAAGATGAGGGCAATGCAAGATTGCTAAAAATATTCTAGCATAAGTAGGGGCTGTGTGTTACAATATATGAACAGGAAATTTTTGTTTTGGTTCATACAGAACTTAATTTGTATAATCCATGGAAAGCAATGGGAAAATGAATACAATGGTAGATAACATTTTTTAAGGGGGTTAAATAAGAGTCTCAGCCTCTTATGTCTGAAATTCAGAGTTCACACCTAAAGTACTATGCAGCCTGTTTGAAACAGGCATTCTTCCATCTATATTTTGTGTGCTTGGACAAAAAATACAAGTTATTATGGGCTTCCTTGCCTGCCAGTGCCAATTTCCTTAGCTTGAAACTCACAAATGAAAACTTCTGATCAATGTTTTTTTCTTAAATCTTCTCAGTCATATTCATGTTATTTTTTTCCCCCCCACAGGTTGCCAATAACTTAAGATGAATGCTGGAAGACTTTGTTTTTTTTCTACAAGCCCTTGGAATTCACAGAACAGCTTTTTGCAACTACTGTGTGTAAAAGCATTTTTATATTATTACAGAGCTTGCATTCTTAACGTATATTGTATAGCTAGGGATAGGTTAGTTTATATTTCGATTTGTGTACTGTAATTTCACCTCTCGAATTCTTGTTACGAGGATCAATTAGTTGTTATTAAAACACAGATCTTACGGATCTCAATTACCAGGTGTATTTTTTTGTGAGGTCACTTTTTTCCCTCATATACTTTTTCTAGACATCTCATTTTTGACAGCTAAACAGATAGTGACTGCTGTCCAGCGGAGATCTTAAGTTGTCCTCTGTAACTTTGTGGAATGAAGCACAAGTCTGAAATCTGGCATTAATCTTAGGTCTAAGCATCATTCTCTCGACTAGCAGATGACTGTATTGTTTTCTCCTCATAACTGTAAGTAAGGTGATGTTGGAAACATAAGACATTGAATATCAAAATCATCTCATGTTGATATTACCTTACCTATGTGTTCCTAGAATGTAAAACAAATATGTGTTTAACAGTAGAGACATCTGTACACAGCAAAGCTACCACTGCCATTCTGATCTGTTAGAGAGACAAAAAATTATCTATTGCAAAAAAAATCTCACCATGGCATTGTTTTTTTTAACACTGTAAAACTATAATTTGAAACTGACCATGTGTCACTTAGGAGCATCTTGGAACAATAATGATTAAAATATTGATACTTCACAGAGTTGGGATGGGATTGTGGGAACTTCTGTATGTGATCTTTCAGTTTAAATCACTCATCTGTTGTATAAAACAAAGTTTGCTAAACAAAGCAACAATATATTGAATAACAAAGAAGGAGAGAATCCAGTTAGAATTGTAGAGCCTGGCTACTCTGAGTAACAGACAGCTGGGAGTCTCCAAAGCACGTGGTTTAGGAAGGTGTTTGGTTTCATAATCACATCCACATTTATGGGCCTGACATTACGGTATTTTGGCAATGAAAAGCATTCTTAGAAAAGTCTGTACTGTGTCACTGTTGTGAAGAAAAATGACCAATGTCGCATATTACTGACAATCATTACAGTCCTACTGCAGCTTGAAATATAAGAAAGCACCGGTGGCAGTCAGCAGTTACGTGTGGACCACTTAAGGCTGCTCTCTGAATGCCACTAAATTAGTACCTGTGTATTATGAAGGCAATATGACAGGTCATTTTTCCAAACTGAGAGGAAATTGTAATAAAAACTCATAGGGCAATTTTGTGAACGTAGGAGCTGTATCAATATATCTTGTAATACCAGCCTTAGGCTATTTGTAATGTCATGAAAAATCTAATAAATTATGATGTGTTACCAAATAGCCAGGTTATGTATATTAAAGCAAAATCTAACACAAGAGATTGTAATTTACTTATAGAAAGACTTGAGCACAATCACTGTAGAATATAGACTAGCATAGAGGTATATTCTGCATAATAAATGGCTGAGCCCAATTCATGCCTTACTAAATCAGCCTTTTACTACATAGTTACAAATGCATAGGAAATTATGCCAGGTGAAACCACAGTACATAAGAAGAAAATTATTCTATATATTCATTTAAGCCAAGCTCTATGTAGGGTTGTCATTTGAAACCATGGCTTGCATTTTTTACGTAATTATCTCTATATTTAAGTCCATATAACCACTTTCTTCAAAGACAAATTGTCTGCTTTCATCATGGTAACGTATTGTTGTATTTTGTTACTGACATATTTACCTCTTACAGTTTATTTTCACAAATGTTTGCTGATTAAATGCACCCTACTTCGATTCCCTTGCAAAACAGAAAACGCATCTTCCACCATAGCTTTCAAAACCAGTGCAATTTTGTACAGACTTGTGTAATAATTCATAATCAGAGCAGACCCTATGCTATGGCTACTAAACTTCTCTGTCTGTGGATCGTTTCTGCTGCCTGCCTGCAAGAGGGGAGGGGGTTTTTGCTCAGATAGGTGCCATCTGGGAGGAGCTAGAGATGCTCTCTTAAACTTGTCATTTTCCTCTTCTTTCCCTTCCTTAGTATGCTGATATCCAAGTAAAGGGATGGTGAATATATTCTTCAAAAAGAAGCATAAAGTACAGAATTACGCGGTCAGAAATCTGTGGGTCCAGCATTGATGAGGAAAAGGAAAAACAAAGGATAGAGAAGGCAGAATTCCCCTGACTCTGCTCCCGACCAGGTTTTTCAGGTTCTCCATTGTCTCTGCTGTTACCTCTCATTACTTCTCTAAGTTTTCATTACCACCACCCTTTTTGACCTCTGCTTTTCTTCAGCACTGACTTCACTGCTCAATTTCAGTTGTTTCTGGAGAAAGCACCGCTGTTTCCAAGCTGTTTCCAGGGAACTACTCAGTATAGGAACACTTCCACAAAAAAATCTGTAGTAAGAACAACAGAGAGAATCTTTGACAAAAATTATGAGTGACACCACGCAAGTCTTCAGCCAAGCTTTTCATAGCGTATGTAGTGGTATTGCTTTCTGTCTGAGAATCCAGAAACAAACTGGAGACCACAGAAGCTGTTTCAAATGCACAAAACTGTGCACGCTGGCCTAAGGATCACACACTGGGCAACAGAAATAAATCTGAAACTTTTGTCTCATCTCTTCTGCTGTATTGATTCCTATCTTTATAGCAGGAGCAATACTCTCATTACAGACACCCAAAACATAAATCTCAATTTTGAAACACTCAGGCCAACTGATAAGTGATGCAGAATTATGGAGACCTTAAGTGGATCTTTAATCTTCGCTCTGAAGACAATGGATGGTAAATAGAACTGCATACAGATAACTCTTTAGCTCACCCCATGTGGTCTGTGCAGCAAATGAAGCTGGGTGTAGGTCAGAGAGACACTGAGCTATGACACCTGCTGTCTGTGAGAGCTAGTTTCAAAGCTTTTCTTTCCCAGAGTTGGACCCAGGTAGGTTTCCTCAGATTCCTGGTAAGCACTGTGGCCTGTGCTGCTGCCTGATGTAGGACAGAGCTCAGAAGGATTACCAATATTACACCCTGCAATTCTTGCAATCTATTGTTGTCAAGGGAGACAAGAAACAGAGGTGCAAATTCATGTTATCTGGCTTCCTCTAGACTTACTGCCTCAACACTCCAAATAAACAACGTGGTTCCTTTCTGTAGCTGGAATGAGCCACAGGAAATTGATTTGCCTTGAGATTACAGTGGAAATCAGTGAGACAGAGACCTCACCCTCCTCTCTTCCAAACCCTGAGAAATGGTGAGAGCTCTGAGCCCTTCCTATCTAAAGAAGGCTCAAGAAATTCATTCCTTCATATTATAAGCACAGCTGTCACTGTGATTCCAAAAAGCAAATAATTTTGATTCCTTATGGTTTTGCAGTGAAATAGCTATAACTGAGGCTAGACACATTGCCCATCCCCTAAAATTGCACCTGTCTGCTGTTCTGGAGGCATTCATGGGGAATTCTCTACACGAAGCTCTTTCTTCACTCATTTTATAACTCTAGCAGATAGTGCCTTCTAGTGGGCACACACTCACTAATCAAAGGAACACTACTCAGATTAATTATTTGGTTACCTTTACTCCACAAGTTCAGATGTTAGGACTTTAATGAGCCACATGCTGTTTTGAAATGTGGTTATTACACAAGGCACCGAGGCTTTGTTTACAATTAAGAAAATTAATGGGATATACAAATCCCTTCCTGAGCCTTAAGCCTCGTTGTACTTTGAAAGGCCTGCTGCTTGCAGAGAATTTTTTCTGACTCTGATGTAAAAGGTAATGAAATTAGATCATTAGGAAAATAAGGCATGGGAATAAAAATTTTACATCATATAAGCACTCTTGAGATAAGAATTGTTAAACAAATATTGTCTCTCTGAAAATATGTGCATATATTAATAGAAAATGTTCTTTTATGTTGTTTTGCTACAGAGCCGACTTTATTTATGAAGCTCTGGTAGTTAAATACATCTGTAAATATTCCTTCAGTTTATGAAGCTGCAGCATACACAATCCTTGCTCAGGAGATTAAATCCTATTTGAAACAGAACCTGGAGAATGGGAAGGGATGCAGTCCAGTGTCAGGTCTCAGAACCAGCCGTGTCCCTGTGACATCCCAAGTAGAAGACTTGTGTCCCATTTGTGCAACCCTCTGTTGCAGATACAGAAAACACAGAAGAATAGTGCTCTGTAGTCTGCTTGTCTTTAGCAAAAAGTATCCCAGCAGAGGATATGTTTTGGCTTGCTCATAACATCCTAACTCAGTGCAATTCCTCCTCCTCTAACAATACAAATTTCACAGGGGATAAAAGTGCTGATTCCCATAGAGCTGTAATAAATATTTCACTTACTTCTTTCTAAAGACCAAATTCTTTTGAAGCACACTAGAGAAGGCTTTCACATCTAAACCTCTGCCACCACACCAGAGGAAAGAAATCACTGAACCCAGCTGCCTGTATCCTCTGGCACAGAAATGTCAGATTCCTTCAGAGCAACACAGGGAGTTTTCCTGGAAATTGTTTTCACTCACACTTGGGAGACACCAGGAGGCCAACGTTATCCAGGTCAGACATTGTGTAGCTTGGGGAAATTAAAGCAATTGATAACACAGAGACACGCTGTAAGACACAGGGCTGTTAGTATCTATGCATTTAGGATCCAGGTGAGAAGAGTGTGTGATAGAGCAGCTGTCTGAGCTCTGACACACAGCACATCCCAGAGGCAGCTCTGTTTCCTTCCCCAGGGGCTGCCCCACAGCACAGCACCCTTCATTCACCAACTGCTATAAGCCAGGACAAGGTTTGTGCCCAATTGCGTTACACTGTAAGACAGAATTTCAGCCAAATCCTCTCTTGTGATCTTTAAAAGCGTAGAATTAAAAGCAGTTAAATAATAACACTGCAGTAGGTAAATATCTACAGCTCAGAAATACAGATGTCATTGATCTTTGCAAACATTGATTATGCAAGGATTGCGTTCGCTTGTGAAGAACCAGAAAGAAAACCTTCCAGGCTCATCACCAGCTCTTTAGGAGAAAGGATGTGAAGTTCTTCGTGGCTCTACGCAGCAGCAGGTTTTGTCTGAAAATGACTGGTCATCAAAGATAACAAAACCGGAGTGGCTGTGTGCCTGAAGGCATGCTGTGAGACATAAGGGAAAGACCTCAGCCATGATATATCTGTTATAAACATTCCTCATTTCAGCTGCTGACGGAGCGATTGTCAGAGAATGTTAACGTGATATAATGGGAAGAAGAAAACAACAAAGAAAACCTCACACTTTCTTAGTGAAGCCAGTTCTCCTATTAACACGCAGACAAAGAAACATGTTATAAATAGACCAAACCTTCTGAAAAACTTAATGGGACTGCAAAAGTAAAAGTTAATGGCAAGTGTAATCGACATTTGTTAAAAGAGACGTGGCTGGATCTCCAACAAGTCAGGCAAAACATTTAATCAGGTTCCTATCAGAGGGTTACAAATAGATGTGTCATTTTAATAAATTCAACAAGTGTACCATGCAACTGAGAACGAGGTGCATCTCAAAAGACAATTAACCAGGAGTCACTGCTCTGGAAATTCCTCACAAGACATTTTCCAAGTTATTTATACTAATTTATTGCATGAAGAAGAACAAAATTGCATTTTTCCTCATTAACAGTCCTAATTTTTAAAGTTTAGCTCTCGTTTTAATTCCACTTCTAAAACAACAGGCATCCATAAACATTCAGCAGACTCACCAGTATTTTAAGCCATGATCTGGTTAAAAATACTGACAATTGGCACTGTACATTATGATTTTCTGCTCTCTAAATAATCAGGACTGAAAACAAGTAAAAGTGCAGCTTTCCATCTCAGTTTTCACACATTGAGATGTGCCTCAAATTAACCCACTCTTCCTTCATATTCATGGAAGGGGATCTGAAGAGTGCTCAAGCAAATTCACTGAGGTTCATCAGAGGCTCTACATTCAGCTGGACCCCTGAGAGCTAGGGACAGAATTCTGCTTTGGGGAGATAACCATGAGATGGAGTGGAACAAGACAAACCAGCCACCTTCATATCTCTGTTTGGAGCAGCGTTATACAATGGTGCTGTTCATCTGAGGCTTCAAACAGCAGGAGTGCACCACTCTTCCAAACACTGTGTTCTTATAGTGAGACACGATGAGAAGCAGCATGGAAATTCCTACTGCCTTTATGCAGCTGTATCCTTCCTGTCCCAGCCTGTTTTATGAAATCCCTCTCCACTCCCCTGAAAGCGCTGCACAAAATCACTATTTCACACATCACACGAAATTAAAAACAAATTTATTGAACCTGAGGTGTATTTAAAGATCAGGAGGCTTTTCATGCTGTAAGTTATTTTAAAACATCTTTGAAACTACTCCACAGACTGGAGTTAAACAATTAAAATGCATAATCACATTTAAAAAGCGGCACCAAAAATGTAAGTCATTTTGTCACAGAGGCTGCTCCAGTATGGTTTGATTATTTAACATTATGCTGTAAAACCAATTTATACCCTATGCCCTTGATCTCTATTTCAATTCCAGGATGTTAATATATGCACCATTGCTGTATTAGCTGATAGGGCAGAACAAATACTTTGGGAAAAGTCATGATTAGAATTTGAAATCTCTCTTGGCCACATTCAATATACAAGCACACTCACCTTGCTGGGTCCTGCTGTAGATTTCCTCCTCCAAACCCCACATTTTACACCTAGAAAGAATGATTAATCAGCACCAGGTGAATATGGAGCTCTACAGGGAACATACAGCGCAGTCACACCTGCAATGAATGCTGAAATCATCTGTCATTGACTACAGCTCTTCAATATGAACCGTTTCCAGGTGGGGAGAGCCAGCAGTCACCACGTCCCATGCTGCAGAAGCCTTGGGATCCTG